AAAACCTGTTTGTATAACATGCATTATGCTCAATGAAACTCATAAACTTGTTTTTAATTTTTTATTCCACAGATTTATTGAGGACAGGTACAAATACATGTGTGAAGTTGCCCAATCCAGAGCAATACTTTCTCTAGGAATTTCCTGTTTTAAGTTGAAGAAGTTAAAGCCCCACAAGGAGACAAAACACAAGGAGTCAGATGAGATACTTAATGTCAAAGTCAACACTTTTAATATTGTTGTTCTTTGTTTGGAAAATTTTATTGTGGAACCAGCTTCGTTAAAGTTTTTGGTTGAGCATGGATTTGATTTTAACAAACAGTATTCCAGAGGAGTGCCCTACAGAAGAGGAGACGATCAGGTGAGTGTGTATTTTCCTCAGAAGGTTGGAAAGAAATTTAAAAGTGCAACAATAACACACCTTACTTGCATATCCTGATTCCCTATTAATTATGCCATCTTAGTATGTGTGTGTGTGTGTTGGGGGGGTGGGGGGGGGGGGGGCAAGATGCATCTGGCCTGAATTTAGAATTTAGAAACCTGTGTGTATTCTGACTGTCAGTATTTTACTGTTCTATTATTTTTCACTTGTTTTCATTGGTTCAATTTTATCTTTGTTTCATTTGTGGCTTTTTTATTTATTCTTTTGTCACTGTTTTAACCCATTGACGCCCAGGACTTTTTATGTTTTCGAGTGATTTTCTACATACACACAATCCAAATGATTTTGTGACTCCGAATTTGGGGCTACCATAGAAAGTGGTACTATCCTAAAACATAGAAGGCTTGAGTTTTCTGACCGTGTCATTATGACGTAGTCATTTTGCCTCGTTGAGCTAAAATAATGGCTCTAGTATATGGTTTGTATGCAATTTTTGGTAAGGGTACAGTCAATTTCATCTTTAGAGGCTGCCTGATAAACATCATTAAGCATGACGGCAGTGAAGAGTCCACTTTCTCAAAGAAGCAAGTAAGGTGATGTACTTTGTTTGCAAATTTGGCTTGTTCCTCGTGGAACTGGAAAAATGGCCCCCCGAATTGAAGTTGCTATGGGACTTAACTACTGATGAATTTCTTGACCTGCTACTGCATATTTTGGAACTTACAACCACTGGAAATCGCAGCAATTGCGAATTTCTTTGGTAGGTCAGAGTGGCTGTGGACTTAGTATAAACATGAAAAAAGTGGAGGAACGAACGAACCCTGTCAAAAATTCGGGCTATTTCCCAGCATGCAATGCAGTCGTAATGTTAAAAATGGAGGCAAGGCCAGGATGCACTAGAACAAAAGGTTGTAGCTCAGCCTTGGAAATGACTAAGAACCAAAAAAGGCACTTCTAATCTAAGACAAGGACTGAATTTTACTGTGAATGTTGACTTTTGGTTTTGCAATGATGATTTATGTAAAAGAAGCCAAAGGTAAAAAACATGATTTTTGTCGTTTTTCTATGACGTGAAAATGGTCATTTTTGTTCTTGTCCAAAATCAAAAGGTGATATTATGCAAAAAAGCTGGCTTTTTGGCATTTATTTGATATCCCAATTTGAAGGACATTCTACTCAATGCTCAGAACTGACAGTTAAGGCAATGTTTGCCCAATTGAGAAAGCTGCAAATGTCTTAAAGCAGCCTTGTAGTCTTATAGCCTTGTAGGGTCAGTTGGCTGTCAGTGGGTTAAAGCAATCTTTACCCTAACAGGGCCTCAGTAATATTATTGCTCATGGCCAAGCCTTTAGTTAAATAATAATTATGGCATCTTTAATATTAAATTAATTTTCTTTGATGTATAACCAAATTTCATGATCATGTGAAAAATGCGCACACCCTCAGTTTTGTTGGCAAATGTGTTTTGTAAACCTGTTAGAGTGTCAAACAAAATTAATTAGAATTACTGTGGTTTCCCTTCAATCACTTCTTCAAAGCGGTCTGCACATACATGTAACTTTTACCTTATTTTTTTACATAATCTGCTATGCATACAAATGAAGTGGCCTGGAAAAATCCATTTGTGCATTATGCACCTGCTAGTACGGCTTGTCATTATTAACATTGTAGAGCCGGGAGAGTTGAAAAAACTGACCCCCACTCCGCGGACTACCCACTGACCCCACTCCGCGGACTACTCTACGGACTACTCCGCGGACTACTCTACGGACTAGTCCGCGGACTACCATGCGGACTACCCTAACTAATCAACCAAATTTACTTTCACGGAGAAAAGAGTTAGAAGAAGCGTACCTGCCTACAAGATCACACTTGATAAACAGCCGCCATCTTGATTTTCGCCATTTTACTCGACCCAGCTCTCCTTTAGCCTCGCCCCAGTCTTCATCGGCCACAAGTCAGAGCACGCCGTTCAGCCAATCGATGACCACTATTGGCGCTGGTAACAGTTTTTGTTATATTCAGCTTAAAAATGTTTTTAAGAACTTACTTATAGCCGTGCTTGGAAGTCACCATATTTTTGGATTCACCTGGCCCACAAGGCCCTTGGAGACGTATTCTCCTACGTAGGGCACGCAGTCGTTATTTGGATCGTCACGCGAGGTTTGGAGAGAAGCGTTGCGTGACGATCCAAGAATGGAAGCTGCAATGGACGTAGCAATGAAGAAGAAGGGCTGGGTCGAGTAAAATGGCGAAAATCAAGATGGCGGCTGTTTATCAAGTGTGATCTTGTAGGCAGGTACGCTTCTTCTAACTCTTTTCTCCGTGAAAGTAAATTTGGTTGATTAGTTAGGGTAGTCCGCATGGTAGTCCGCGGACTAGTCCGTAGAGTAGTCCGCGGAGTGGGGGTCAGTTTTTTCAACTCTCCCTTGTAGAGCCTTTGGTGTTTATGAATAGATACAAAACATTTTTGTGTTTGTCTTGTTTAGAATGTCAACAATATGTCAGAACATTCTCTGAGAAATCTTTTCAGTGAACTTGTCATGGCAAATAAGCCACTTGTTCTGCACAATGGATTCTTAGACCTAGTGTTCCTTTATGAGAATTTCTACTGCAAAGTGCCAGACAAACTGCAGGTGTTTACTGCTGATGTGTCCGACATGTTTCCAGCTGGAATATTTGACACCAAATATGTATCTGAGTACAGTATCCGAGAATCAGCTTCATATCTGCTTTATCTCTTTAAAAAGTGGTAGGTATATGTATTTAATAATAATATTTTTTGATTTTATCTATACTGTTTTTGTCTTTTGTGTTTTTGACGTAACTGAGAATCTTTTGCAGTACCATATATCTTTTCTTTTTGCTTTGTAGTCAGCGATGTAATGAGCGCAGCCAAAAGCGTGAGGAAAAACACGTGTGCTTGAAGTTTCCTGAAGAAGCCTCACTTTTATGTTTTACTGAAGAATTGTTCTGTGGCGCGCGTGATGAAACTGAGGCTGTTCCTAATGTTGTCACTGTCTGTGAGAAGTTTGCAGTAAGTTTATCATAGAATACTTTTCAAGTGATTGTTGTCATCAACCTATTTTTGAAAAAATTGTTTTGGCCTAAACAAGATGCAAGAACAATGTATCAAATGCCCATCAGATCTTGACAAGAATACTTGTTGTAGGAAAATACTTTTGTGTAGGCAAGTCACAATTGGCCTTGGTGAATGTGTTTCTTTGATTTCGCGAGAAATTGTTAGAGTGTTTGTAGCTATGCAGTCACACTTTGTGTCAAAAAGCATAAAACAACTGCCAAAAATCACTTTCAGGACTTGATAGCCTTAAATACAGTCACAATGTACATCCTGGACTTGAAAAAGACTGCTAATTTGAACTGTTGGACATATTTTCTAAGATGCTGTTTTGCATTAGTCTGAAATGCCGGTCCTCTCTTCACCCCACCCCCCACCCCCCAACGGGTGGCCAATCTCCCTTGTCTGGTAACCCATTTGGGGGGTGGGGGGGGGTGGGGTTACATGAAGATATGGCTGAAATTTAACACTACCGGTAGTTTGGAATAAGCATCTGTTCAGCTTCCGTTTAGGGCTCAAAGCAGTCGTATTTTATGACTGAAATAGTACTAATGTTCAGGCTTTTCAGGAATTTCAGGCTTCTATTTCCTACTTGAGCAATAAACGCTTATCAACGTAAGCTGTTTATGTAGAGTATTGCTGTTTCAGTGAAAGGGTTAAAGGAAGTGCTTCTTTATGATTCTCCACAGGCTCATGGATTTTGTCCTCGAGAGAAAAGCTGCCCCTTTTCACATGATGTTGATGATGTTTTGGATCGAGAATGGAAAGCAAGAGAATCAAAGAGACAAAAAAGGAAAAGGAAACAAAAAAGCTCAGGTAATGGATGTGTGCGTGCATGTGTGTTTGCATAACAGTCCCTTCTCTGTTAACATGAAACACAAAGTAAAAAAAGATATGCACATAAAGAGATAACTTCATATGAGTATGGATCCAAAAACTAAAAATATGGTGACTTTTCCAGCACTAGACCTTCATCAGTTCGTTTGTCTTAGCCTTTTACAGAGCAAATGTACTTTATCAACCTAGTTTTCGTGTTTTTCTTTGGTTTTGACAAATTCCCAGAATAATCTTTTCAAATATTGTAGTTTAATCGACTGATGGGCGATTTCTTATCAAATCCAATCAATAGAAAGTGTTTACAGTCTAACCCTATGTAATAGTCTTTTTTAATATATGAATTTATTTTCACACAGGCAATAATGAAAATGACATACAAACGGCCTGCAATAACAGTGTGATGGCAGAGGATAAATCTGAGCATTCACTCACTTGTGATAGGCAGGAAGGTTGCATGACGTCATCGCTATATGGCAACTTGAATCAATCCATCAAAAAGACTCGTAACTGCGGACACAGGGCGGGATTTGATGCTTTTATGACAGGCTATTGTATGGCGACATATCTTCTTCAACTTGGCAAGAAAAATGACGAAAATGAACTTAGCCTCTCCTCCCTGGGGGAAATTGCAAACAAATTGAGCCTCGCAAAGAAGGACGTCCCTCTGCAGATTGCGCGGAGTCATTTTTCCAAGCCTTCACCATCACACACAGAAAAACTAAAACGACTTAGAGAAAATTGCGCTTCACAAAGTCTGGACCAGTAATTTGGACAGTTTGCACCTCAAGTCAGAATTGGATTTATGGACATGGATGTTGATCCAAGTTTTTGAACTGCCAATTGAGGACAAACTCTAGATTTGTTTAGTGAATTAAAGATGTTTCAAACGTCTTTTTACGGAATTATTTTAGTCTTTAAGGCGCACTTTCACCATAACTTCAAGGGACCTGGGGAAACTTTAAGCGCTCGTCTCCAGTACTCTTCTAACTAATCAATTCCCTTCAATTTCGTTCCATAGCTGATGCACAAAGGTCTAGGAAACTTCTGTTACATGTCTTGATTTTATTTCTTTTATTCTATCTAAAACATATTCAAACACTATTTTATTACCTTCTTTTCTTAAAAAATCAAGAAAAAACAATGATAAACCCCTTTCAAAAACTCCCATTTTTCGACAATTTAAATCAATATATTTATACTCTAAAAAGGATTTCTTTCTATCTAGAATTTACTCAAACACTATTTTACAGCCTATTTTGACCAAAAAAAATAAGCATTATTAACCTTTGAATTTTCATGAAAAATCAAAGGTTAGCTCAGTAGGAAAAATATTTTTTTTCTATCTAGAACATAATCAAATAGAAGTTTATGGCCAATTCTGACAAAAACTAAGCATTGAAAAAATGTCGAATTTTTGGCCAAACTCATCAGCTAACCCGTTTAAAAAAAATGCAATTTTTGGCCTACATGAGATCGATAAATTTATAGTGCAAAAAAGCTTCTTTTCTATCTAGAACAAAGTCAAACACTATTTTATGGCCTATTTTGACAAATACGTGTTGTTATTTTTAATCAAAATTGTTCATAAAAAACTGTTTCAAAATTTTCAAGATAAAAAAGAACTATTTTTAAACTATAAAAAATTCGATCTTTTTACGAGCGAAAAATGTATTTTTCCAAAGGGGTTAACCCATAATTTTGCCAAAACATTGAAATTTTTTTCTAACCTTTACTTTTCAGCAAAATTGTTTATAAAAAAACTGTTTGAAAATTTCCTAGATAAAAAAGAACTATTTCTTACCTATAAAAAATTTTTAGCACCAAAAAGAGCATTTTTCCAAAGAGGTTAACCCACGATTTTCGCAAAAAATTCAAAATTTTTTCAACCCTTATTTTTCATTAAAAGTGTTCATAAAATACTGTTTGAATATTTTCTAGATAGAAAAGAACCATTTATTAACTATAAAAAATTCAATCTTTTTAAGAGCCAAAAATGCACTTTTCCAAAGGGGTTAACCCATGATTTTGGCCAAAAATTTAAACTTTTTTCCGCCCTTATTTCTCATCAAAACAGTTCGTGAAAAACTGTTTGAATACTTTTTAGATAGAAAAGAACTATTTATTAACTATTAAAGAAATTCGATCTCTTTAGGACCAAAAAATGTTTTTTCCTTAAGGGGTTAATCCATGATTTTGGCCAAAATTTCCAAATTTCTTTCAACACGTATTTCTCATCAACATGGGTTAACTCCTTTCGAAAAATGCATTTTTTGCTCTTAAAAAGATTGAATTTTTCATGGTTAATAAATAGCTCTTGTCTATCTAGAAAATATTCAAACAGCATTACTACGACCTCAAGCTTAAGAATTAAAATTAAATACCTTACAAAAAATGCTAATCTTCATTGCTTTTTCTTTTTTAAAACCACCGCCGATGCCATTAACACCCTCTATTTTTCAACTTACAAATACGTCCAATAGCACAGCTGTCCAATCGGGTGTGGCCGTGAAAGCTGAATAATGAATGTGTTATCCACCTCGGCCTTCGGCCTCTGTGGATAACACCCTCCTTGATCTGCTTAATTCTTCATATCCTACTCAGTCTCATTCATTAATTGCTAAATAATGAATAATGGGGTTTGGAAAATCAGGAATAATGAATAACACAGCCATGTAAGTGGAATAAAGAATAACACATTTGTTTATGTAGTTCCTGATATATCAGTTTTCGATGAAATTTTTGTTTTGGTGAAATCAGCCGGCAATACGCAAAACTACCTTCGCTGCAAACGTCTCCGAGTAACTTATTATAGGAAAGTAACGCTCCATGAAGTTAAGGTATTGGAAATTAACGCGACTTAAATTAACGCAAATTTAATGGAAAACGACTTTCGAAGAAAGAAAGAAAATTAAAGCGAAAGAGGAGGTGGAATTTCATAATAAAGCAAATTAACGCGATTAAGACTCGGTGGTAACAACTGGAACAAATTTATTTCAACACTGTATGCAAAAAAATTCAAAACTGAGCTGACAGCGACAACGATAAAGATGAACTCGAAATAAACCTTCTTAAGGGCACGATCCATTCAACCAAAATTTCCGGAAATTTCGGTCCAAAACTCAATGGATCGGTTCGGTCCAACCCGAAAAGTTTCGAAAAAACGGGTCCACCTTTTGAGGTGGACCACTTTTCCCGGTCGGACCGGTTGGAATTTTGGTTGAATGGATCGCTTTAACGAAAAAAATGTGGCCCATAAATTTTGCCTAATTATGTGGCTAGTTCCAGTCCCCGCTCGGCAATTAGCGTAACGCAACCATTTTTTTTGAAAAATCAGAAACGCGGCAAGGATTTTGTTGCGGGTTTTGCGAAGAATGACCATGAAAGCTTGTTGAAAGCTTGTATCGACGAATTTAGACCAAATACAAGTCAAGCAAATTATTTTAAAGGATTCTGGAGGATAACAAGCAAGATAAACGCGAAAATCCAGGTAAGAAGACAGTAAGAATCGCCGAGCCGGCTAAGTCTACCACACATACTCTCTGATACTCTTCAAACGCGACGAATTCCTTCCCGCTTAGCTTTTTGCCTTCAAAGCCTTGCTTATTTTGATGAATTCTATCTGTAAATTCATATATGCTTGTTTTTAACCCGATATCTCGCTGAAAAACTAAAAAGTAAAGCGTCTTTTGAAGATAAACAGCAAACCACGAGTGTTGAATTTCATTATGCTAATTAGCTTCAAGGTGGCTCCCTACAGTATTTACTAATAACCCTAGCTATCTAGCATACGTTACAGAACGAAAGCTAGTCACTTTGTCTTTGTGATTTTGTTCACGAGATTCACCGCTAAGGTTACCCATATAAGAAGGCTCCTTTATCAAGTTTCATTTTTTGGATTAAGGCCATTGCCATGGCAACATCGCATCCTTAGACAGGCAGTAATTTTGTCATTATTGGTCATTTTTTCTTAATATTTCTTATTTCCCTCAGTGAAATGTCTTTAAACTTTGCCACTTTATATTAACGATATTGCTTAACATGTTAAAGTGGAAAAAACATGGGGTCGTTAAGACGGTTTTGCCAATATTTTGAAATTTGTCATTTTTCTTAATGGAGGAATTTAGCTCTTACTGATTTTAACAAAAATAGGACAGTACAAAGGTACTGCAACTGTCAAGAAATGAGGCGATTTTTAAAAAAATTTACCATAGGAAACACGAGAAATTCACGGTAATTAACTACGTTGACGTCACAAAAATCTGAAAAAAACATGCGTGGTTCGGGGTCGTATGAGCAAAATACGCACGCGAGCCATCACGCCCGCATGCACATAATGCACAAAGCCACTGAAAACATGTGGTTTCTTTGAAGAGTACGAAAGCCATTGTTTTGAAGCGGTTTATTAGTATCATTACGGTGATATCTTGCCAGTTGAAAAAGGAGAGATAGCGGATTCAATTTTATACCTAACACAGGATATTTTCTTCGAAGTACTTGACTATTGAAGCTAAAATTCGAAGCGTGGTGGTTACTCGTGAGGATGGCGATCGTCGGCGATGAAGATGGTGGTTGTGCAAGGATGGCAATAAGCCCTTCATTTCCTAATCTGCTGTACACTGTTTGCAGATCTTCAAATGTTAGCCCACTTCCGGATACTTTTTCAACCTTGTTCTTCTTTAGGGATAATTTCGACGGCGAAGTTTATCTTTAAAA